AACAAAACCTTTGAGAATTGCTGCATTATATAACTATTAATATTTTACTGCCACAAATGTTAGCACCTTAACAGGGTTTTTTTTGCAGCTTTTTACAGTTTGTTGCAGTTTTAAATATTAATAATATGTATATAACTATTAATATGAAAATAAATATACTTAAATGGGGCTGATACTTTGACAGGACTCAATTCAACAATCTTACTGAAGTAAAAGTCAAAATGAAGGTATAAAGCCGACTGTAAATAAAGAAATAAACATGCAGCCTGATTTAGCTCTCTGCCCTTTTGGAAAGAGTTCAAATTTAACCAATTTTAAATTTAACAAATTTAACCCTGTTCAAGCAGCTCTTTATCCCAAATATACATATGGCCTAGGACCCAGCAGATCACATCACACAGGTTGGCAAGAAGCAACTGCCATGGGTGACTGTCCCGACTCATACTTTTTTTGGTTCTGTCTAACCATCTATCTACTTCTAAGCCACTGTACTGTAAAGTTACTTAGACGATGCATTCTGTCACTTTCATCAACTAACAAAATAAACCTGTAATCAACCTATACAGGGTGCAGAGATAAGTTTTTCACAGCTCAACTATTCAGAGGTAACCTTGAAGAATGCTTTCTTTTTCCTCCCATAAAAAGAAAATATAACACAAGGGGAATAAGAATTGTGGCTTAATATCCCTTCCAGGATGAGGCAATCTACAAACAAACAAACAAATCTGCCTGTCACAAATTCCAGCGTAAGGACTCTTAAAATGCTATGTGTTAGTAGCTCAGTCATTTCTGATTCTTTGAGACTCCATGGACTGTGTAGCCTGCCAGGGTCCTCGGTCCATGGAACTCTCCATGCAAGAATACTGGAGTGGGTTGCCATTTCCTTCCAGAGGATCTTCCCGACCCAGGGATTGAACCCAGATTTCCTGCATTGCAGGTATATGCTTTACCATCTGAGCTACTAGGCTATACCAAACAAAAACAAAAAACACCAGTCATCCTTAGCAAAGAATAGCACAAAACTTAAAGTCAGCACTACAAGGATTTTACTGCAAATTCAAGGGACACTCAGGACTTTCTCTGATTTTAGTTTATTTGCAAAATGAAACACCACAATAGTTCTTAGACTCCTCCCTTACCCTACAGTCAGTGGTACTGAGCTGGGAAGAAAAAAGATTATGTAAGATCTGAAAAACTGAATGAGGCATGAAACAAAAAAAAAACAACTACTGAGAGTAGTTAAATTAGCTAAAATTTTAAAAACAAAGCATGAGTGGAATCACTCTACCATAATCATATATATAAGGTTTACGGCATAGTCTATAATGAAAAGAATGTGGTGTCAGCAGAGGAAAAGACATATACATCAGAAGAAGAGACTAAAGAATCCAGAATAGACCCACAAAAATATGCCCAACTGATTTTGGACAAAGGTGCCAAATTCAAGGAAGGAACAATAGCCTTTTCAACAAATAGTACTAGAACAACTGGGTACTACATAGGCAGGGAAAACAAAATAGAAATGAATCTCAACCTAAACCTCACAACTTATATAAAAATCAACTCAACGTGAATCATGAACTTTAAAGTAAAACATAAAACTGTAAAGCTTTCGGATAAAATATAGTAGAAAATCTTTAGGGCTACAGGCAAAGGGTGACAGGGATAGGCAAAGAATTCTTAGACCTGACACCAAAAAGCACAATCCATGAAAGAAAAATCTGACAAACTGGACCACATCAAAATTTTAAAACTCTCTGAAAAACTCTGTAAGAGGATGAAAAGACAAGCTACACAGTGAGAAAATATTTGCAAACCATGTATCTGATGAAGAACCTGTATCTATTATATATAAAGAACTACTGAAAAATCAACAGTAAAAGCACAAACAATTAGAAATATAGGCAAAAAACAAACAAATTAACAGGATCTACTAATGGCAAATAAGCATTTAAAAAGAATAATATTAAGTTATTAGGAATAATATTAAGTTAAAACTAAGAGATACTGCTACATAGCTGTAGGAATGGCTATAATTTTAAACAGTGGTAACACGAAACGCTGCCAAGGATGTGGAGGAAGTGAATCACTGATATACTGCTGGTAAAACGTAACCTGGTACTACCGCTTTACAAAAGAAAACGGCAGTTTCTTACAAAACCAAATGTGCTTATCAAACAATTCATCAAGTGAACTTTTATTCATATAACCCAGAGAAATGAAAACTAATGTTCACACAAAACCCTGTTCATGAATGGCCATAGACCCAAGGACTGTAGCCTGCTCTGGACAGGCTCCTCTCTCCATGGACTTCTCCAGGCAAGAATACTGGATTGGGTTGCCATTCCCTTCTCAAGGAGATCTTCCAACCCAGGTCTCCTGAATTGCAGGCAGATTCTTTACAATCTGAGCCACCAGAGAAGCCAGTAGCTTCATTAGTTAATAACTAAAACTGGAAACAACCCAAATGTCCTTCAACAGGATATACCATAACATTCTTGTATATCCATGTCATGGAATACTACTTGAGAATAAAAAAGGAACAAACTATTGATACATTCAACAACTCTGATGGAGCTCAAGGGAAAAAAATGCAATCTGCCAACCTTAAAATACTAGAAGATTCTGTTTATATTACACTCTTAAAATAACAAAATTAAAGAAATGGTCAACAGATCAGTGGACGCCACAGGTCAGAGTGCTAGGGAAAGCAGGAAGGTAACTCTGCCTATAAAAGCTGGTAACACAGGGGAGCCTGTGATGGAACTGTTCTGCACCTTGACCATAGTGATGGCCACGTGAATCTGCATGTGATAAAACTGCACAGAACTAAATACACACACACATACACACTCAAACACAAGTGAGTCCATGTAAAACTGGTTAAATCTGAATAAGGTGGATGAGCTGTATCAATATATCACTCCCAATTTCCTGACTATAATATTATATTTGTCTATGTGCTTCCCTGGTGGTTCAGCAGTAAAGAATATCCACCTGCAACGCAAGAGACACAGGTTCAATTCCTGGGTTAGGAAGATTCCTTGGAGAAGGAAATGACAACAATTCCAGTATTCTTGTCTAGGATAATCCCATGGACAGAGGAGCCTGGTGTACTACAGTTCATGGAGTTGCAAAAGTGACCAAACAATAACATTATATTCTACTTATGCTATATGTTACCACTGGGGAAAATGGATGGAGGGTATATGGGATCTATTTTTTTTTAACTGCATGTACATCTACAATTAACACCAAAATTTTTTTTTAAATTTCTTACTCCAGTAAGAAAAACCTAAGAATTGAGAACACTACACAGTAAGTATTTCAAAGACCTGAAGTTTCCCTAAGGGCTCAGCAGGTAAAGAATCTGCCTGCAAGGCAGGAGACACAGGAGATGTGGGTTCAATCCCTGAGTCAGGAAGATCCCCTGGAGGAGGAAATGGCAACCCACTCCAGTATTCTTGCCTGGAGAATCCCATGGACGGAAGACCTTGGAGGGCTACAGTCCATGGGGTCACAAACAGTCGGATGTGACTAAGTGATTAATACTTTCACTTTCACAGACTTATCACAGATGACTGATTTTCATGCTCTCAAGTGAGTAGCTACATAATTCAACTCCATCTACAACACAGAATCCACAGATTTGTTCAAGTTTTCCTCTCTTCTCTCTTTCCTCCTCTACCATTCCAACAACCCCCTTCATAACAGTCTATAAGAGAGAACTGCAGTATACGTGTGTAGGGTGTGTGCATACATGTGTGTGCGCTACAGTTCTATGTTCTGTCTAGTTTTACAGAAATACACACAGATGTGTGGGTTGTTTTTAACCATACTTAATAATCAACTTTCTGTGCTCTTGGTTCCTAATTTTAAAATCCATATGGGCACATTTTGTACTTCCCTTTAAAAATAAATGTCAGCTATTCATGACAATAGTTGCTTCCATCCCCTACCCTCACCCCACTACCTAGGTAGGTAAATGGTCCTTCAAAAAAAGTTTTCATGTGGTTGATCTGCAGTTTGACTTGATCACTGGTGGAACCTATGCAATAAGATATTTTCTGTATACTGAAGCAAAAGTTAATGATTGCTAATTTTGGAGAATAAGCTAAGTTCTTTTTCTGGCCACTGATATACACTCTATTTAATAAGCCACTCTCTTAGGCAGGGCATTGGTATATAGAGTCTGGTATATTATATAGACTGAGGTACTATTTATATACCAGGTATTAAAAACACCTAATTAATACATTGCAGAAAAGCTAGTTTATAGTTCTGACTTTCCCGTGTTCAAAGAACTCTGACAGCAAATATTATTCTCATACTTTTTCCCAACCTTTGCTTTCCAAACAGATTTTACATACACACACACACACACACACACATATCAGGTAGCATCTAATATAAGTTCTCCATGTAACAGTCATGGGGTAGTACTCTTTTCCTTTAATTTCAAGAAAAAAATATTTTTGTAAGATCTGCTGTATTCTCAGACTATTAACTCAGCATCATTCCACCCACTTTTCACATCAAGTCTTATTGAGGGAGTAGAAGCACACCCTGCCCCAAAATATATCTTTCACAAATGTTCAAAGAAATAAAAACAGAAATTATTCATGTGGCATTTCTTACACAATGGCCCCAAATGTCAGTTTTATATACTATAGTCTTATAGTATCATTTTCAATTTTCAAGAAACAATCATATAATCAGTGTATTTCCCCCAAATAGCTTAGATTTTGGGAATTAAACATCTATTAGCATGTGGTCCATTAATGTATACAATCTTTCACATCTTGCTCTTAAAGATAAAATCTTAAATTTTTCCTAATCTCTTACTCAGAAAGATACTAAAAAAAAAAAAAAAAAAAACAACAATCAGATTTCATTTCCAAGCAAATGCTGAACTGCAATAAGCAGTCTTAAAAGTGCACATCAAATGCCCAATGAAAAATAACACACAACAGCACAATTAGAAACTGTGGAAATTTTACCTTAATTCTTCTCTCAGTGTCATCTAATTTTAACTCTGCAGAAGAGAGTTTCTTTGCTAAACCATCTCGTTCAGGTAGGTGTTTAGCTTCAGAGATGGCTTTCAGTTTCTGTAAGGAAACTTTGGTCCTAAGCAGTTCACCTTCTGTCTCTTTCGCCCTTCTCTCAGTTGCCCGTTCTTTCTCTTGAGATTTTCTTAAGCGGTCTCTGAGTGCTGTAATCTCATTGCTATGACGAGCAATAAGTTGTGAGATTTCATTTTCTGTGTCTTCAAACTTACTCAGGGCTTTCTCCTGCCTGTACTGAAGCCTTTTCAAAGCCTTATTTTCTTTTAGCAGCTCGGCTATCTTGACCTGGAGTTCAGTTACTTCGTTCTGCAATTCATTGATTTTTAGCAGTCTTGCAGAAAGAACCCGTTTTGTAACAAGATCAGGATCTTTCCGAAGGGGCTCCCTATTGAGGCTCTGGGAGCGAAATCCTGCTCGGACTTTCTTTCTGTTTGGTGAACCCTTAGGGCTTGGTTTCCTAGGGGCTGAAAAAGAAACAGTAATAACATAAAATGAAAGCTGTATCAGATGTAGAATTATTGACTCATCCTAACACAAATGAATCCATAATATTCTTTAGTCATTTTGTTTTAAGGAAACATTTTTAAAAAATGATTCTACAATATTTAAATATTTGGTTTTACTTAGAGCTTTTAGCATGTCGTTTTTATTAAGAAAGGTTTGAAATCTTTTAAGACAGTTCAAGAAACATATTCTGATCCAGCAAAACAATATGCCATGGTTCACAAGGAATTATTTTACACTGTTTTAAAAGATGGTAACATCAGACTCCACCATTTTTACCTTTGCAGATAAGATGGTCAGCTGTATTCAAACATAGACACCGTCAGCATTAGCACAGTGCCTAATAAATACAAAATGTCATGATAATCAAGTCATCTGTGCCAAGATATTTGGGATCGTAATTTGAAATATGGAAACGTATGAGTTTTTAAATTAATTAGAAATCTTTACTTCAGGAAAGAAGACGACAACATGACAGCAAGAAGATTTGGGGCTCAGATTTACTACTTAATAGATCCTTGGGCAATTCAACTTAAACCTTTTCCAGGTTTATTTTCCCTTTTGTTGTGAGGATTAACTGAAGTATGCGTATAAGACAGAAAATTCTCCACAAATATTCTGTCAGTATTAAGAACTTAATCCCACATATCAGTGATTGAAAATGGAAAACACTTTAGCAGTACAGATGTGATTCTAAATGCTTTCTCAGAGGCTTTCTTTTGTGTGATGTTCAAATCAAAAACATCTGGCATAATTTAAGAACAAGATAAATGACTCCAGCCTAAAAAATTAAAAGCACATGAAATCTTTAAAGTGTACATATCACAACATTTCACAAAAACTTTGAATATTATTTACTCAAAGTTCATTAAACCTTGGCCTCAATATACAGAGCACCTGCCCTTTAAAAGAGGCATCTGGAAGTTTGCCATAGTTGAGAACAGCAAACTTTAATCTCCAAGGTGACTGCATTTTTTCTAGAAGGAAATGCATTCCAAAGGGGAAAAAATGAAGAAAAACTAGAAAATCCAATATTTCCCTACCTACTTCACCAGCCATGGATACCCTGATTTTACTATGTAAACAAGGAAAACATGTTTACAATGTAACATTATAAAGTTTCATTTAAAGAGACAGAAATTTTGTAGAGGGTATAGTAAATGTGTACTGATTTGGGATTCCAGCTCTATACATGCATGAATATTTGAAAAGAAGTAGTAATAAAAAGAAACGAAGGAAAGCCTATTAGTAACTTTGAAACTATGCTATTCAATACAGTAGTCACTAAACACATGTGGCTACTGAAAACTGAAATGTGGGTGATCCAAACTGAGTCCATAACTGAAATACACACCAGATTTCAAACACCTAACTCAAAGGAAAAAGAAAAAAAGGAATGCAGAATATTCCACACACTATGTTTTATACTAACTATATTTAGAAATGATAATATTTTGGATATTCTGAGTTAAATAAAAATTATTAAAATTAATTCCACCTTTCTACCTGTTTTTCTTTTGGCAATAAAAAATTGTATGTGTGGCTTGCATTTGTGATTTGCATAATACTTCCATTGGATAAACTGCTCCAATTTTAAATTGGAGCATCTATCATTTCAATTTTCTTTCTTTCCCAACATACTGAGTGAACAGAGTTTTAGTATCTATATGCTATTATAGAATATGTATTCAGCTCTTGGTATGACAGAAACTTTATACATAAAAATGGTCGTACATAAGAATAAATGTTAATCACCCCAAATCTCTGATTTTTATGTATAAAATTATATTGCTCAGCAAATAAGATTTCATGCACATGGAAACTTAATTTGAGAAGTGAAAGTCTAGATATTATACAAATCAGGTTACAAATTCTCCACTAATATTTTGTTCTATGATATAGCCAGACAAAAAGGGCTTCTGCCACCAACATCTGACATCCTCAAAATCTGAACATTGTTTTCTACTATATTCTATTAACCAGATCTCAAAAAATATCTCTCACCTTTCATTTATCTCTTTCATTTTCAAAACGATCAAGATTAAATACAGGGCTAGTAACACTCAGAAGAAAGATGACTGACTGTTGAAATCATTCTTCAGCTCCCCCTTGTTACCACAAGGGGTACCAAAAAGAGGGTGGACAAATACTGTTTTCCTTCCATCAGGTGTTAAAATTACAGTATGACTCATTAAAAAAACATGTAACAAAGATAAACTATGCATCTACCAAAAACGTAGTATGTTTATATTACCGATAAAATGAGAAACAGAATATGTACATAATATGTAATATATAAACATGTATAATGAAATTATTATTAAATTGTATTATACATATAACTTCTGATAGAGCACAAATTTTATTTCTAAAATAATAAAATAAGCTGAAAATGTAAAAGGAAGAAGGAAGAATATGTTGCTAAATGTAAAATTTTGCAAATTCAAGTGTTCAAGATACTTTTTAAATCACACTTGGCTTTCCCTTAGTTCAGTAGACACTGGTAATTGCCAACTTGAGCCGAAAGAAATCGGTGTTTAGGGACATTACGAGTTTTCCCGGATGGCTTGCACTGAAGTAGACATATTACCACAGACTTTAATTCAAAGGACAATGCAAAGCAGAAAACAGTACAAGTCAGGTTGAAATTTTTCTGGGTGATAAACGGTTTCTCACAGCTTTTTCTCAGATATCTCCTTAAGTAAAACTGCTTCAAGGTAAGGAGTGAAAAATTAAAGTATTCCTACCAATAATTCCCAAGGTATGTGAATGATTTCTTGGGAATAAACAGTCATTTTCTAAGGTTCAACCCTAAGGTCTGTTTATTCCTAATTATACAGCAAAAGTTTAATATCAGATCATGCTCTCAACCACAAAATCAAAACAAGAAAATGACACTGAGACAGATTTGGAGGAAGAGACTATGAAACCTGCAGCACTGTACTTGTAGCAATAATAAAAAAACAAAAACATACCAGCAAAAACCATACAGAAAAAAAAACTTTTAAAGTTTTTAAAAGCTGTTGTTAAAAGTTGTTAAAAGTGTCAACATCCCTGGGAAGCCTGATCAGGGATTCACAAAAAGGTTGCTTTCAAAAGAAACACACATTCTTTGCAGATTTTAAAAAGGTAAATGTTACTTTTCAAAGTAAAAATTTATAAAGGCAAATTTAATAAAACCCCTGCTTCAAACTTTTCAATAGCTAACTATCTCCCCCCTCTCCCCTCCCCCCCAGAAACAGTCAATATCTTAACACAGGATTCTAGGCATTTCATGACCTCACCCTGATTTCCTTTTCGGCTCACATACTACTTCCTGCCTTGCAATCTTACCACTCTAAGCTACTAATGTGATGGCTGTATTGTATCTATTAACCGATACTATAAAGCCTCATTTTACTGATGCTGGGAAAGACTGAAGGCAAAAGGAGAAGCAGGTGGCAGAGGATGAGATGATTAGATAGCATCACCAACGCAATGGACATGAATCTAAGCAAACACTGGGAGATCGTGAAGGACAGAGAAGCCTAGCATGCTGTAGTCTAAGAGGTTGCAAAGAGTCAGACACGACTCAGCGACTGAATAACAACAAATAAAACCTCATTTACTTTAGCTTACCTATGGTGTACTAGCGGTCCTTACATATTTTGTTACTAAATACATACAGATTTTCTTGACTAGGGATTTATTAAGATGAAGAAGAGATTTCCAGAACATTATGCAGTCAAATATGTATTAATACCTAGCTCCAGACTAATAACATTCTAACAAGAAAAATTATTTCTAAAGATGTATGCTGTTCCATTATAACACCATTTAATAGAAAACAGACTGGTGGTCCCAAATTCCATTTCTAAGCTGTGTTTGAACTTTTTCAGTAAGTAGAAGTAATTTTACCCAATCTATAAAAATGTCCCTTAACCACTTTATATCCATGCCTTTCACAACTTTCTGAAAATAAAGGTACAAATGTTTTGTGATTTTTTTTTTTTTTTGCCTTTACAAACCCCAAGACAATCATTTATTCAGGAACAAGCAAAAACAAAAATAAGAAACCTCAGTTAGAGTTCTTTCTTCTGGATACAGTATAGCTGTGAATGTAACAAAGGACAGTACTGTGAGCAACATTTATAAAAATATATCCCATTCTCATTCACACAGGTTTCCTTAAGCACTCAGAATGAATATTCCAGGTCTACTGGAGTCTTTTAAAGGATGCTTACCTTGATGATGCACTTGGCTATCTGAAATTTGTTTCTTAGGATGTTTTCCCTTAACACTTGCAGGTGGGGAGGGATGCACCAGCGACGACCGGCCAGAAGACTGTGGAGTAGTTCCAAATTCAGATGAACAGTAAGAGTAATAGGGTCTGCTTGTCTTACTTTCTCGATCAGTAACTGGACTTCTTTCTCTTTCCCCCATGGCTTTGAAAAATAGTCTCTATTCACATAATTTCACAGAGTCTTCTCAGAAAAATCCAAAATAAGCCTGAAGAGCAATTTTGAGTCTTCAGATCCTGGGGATAATATTCAGGTCTTTGCAATCTGTTTTCTCTATGTACCTTTAGTCCACAATTCACAATAGCAACCAGAAGATACGCTTTTTTCCTCTACAATTAAGGAAGAGGGAGGGAAACTCATCATATTTCATGAAATAGATTTCAAGAGTTAATTACAATGAAAGATACCAAAAGCAAAACAACATATTGCTTAGAACTTTAAAAAGAGGCCATAATTTAATTCATCTATATTTTCATACCTAGTTGTCTACAGTATTTGGAGAAACGATAGACTATCATAGACTAGATAGAGAATGTGTAAAGTACCTGACATACACCTGCTTCTGAATAAATGTTAACTGAATTTGACTCCCTTGAATCTTAAGATTTATAACAAACACAAAAGCTAGGTGAATAATAAAGTCACCAGTTTTTGGTTTTGGTGGTGGGGATGGGGGGAAAGGTAGTAAAGAACAAGCCTGCTAACAAAAATAAGAAAAATATCTAAGACTGACTGCATAAAAATGTAAAACTGGACCATGCAAAAAATTAATCAAATTAAAGCATGTGAAGAAAAATATTGCAACATGACAGAAAAATCATGACCATCCTTAACAATCAATAAATACCTCATATCATGCCACAAGAAAGATAGGAAGTCAAAAGATAAATGGGCAAATACATGTTAAGACCCACAGCAGGCAATACAAAAATAGGCATAAAAAAATTAACTTCACACATCATTTTAAAATCTATCAAATTACCAAAGATTCCTCAAAATAACACTCAGTGCTTCCAAAATGGCTATCAAAACAAGACTGGGGGAAAAAACCTGGCAAAATAGGTTAAAACTTTAATTATGCTTTTAACCTTTGATTCAATAATTCTATTCCTGGATACCAAGAAAATTACCCTAAAAACGGGGCAAGTTATGCACAAATGTTGAATGTGGCACAATTAAAAAGAAAAAAAGTAAATGTCTAACCATTGCAAAACAAGAAATTAAGAAAAGTATTGAAAAAATTAATACAGCATAGTATTATGCAGATGTCAGAAATGTTTACAAAAAGTTTGTTAACAAGGAAGATGCTTATACTATTATGGTAAAGGAAAAATTCAAAGTGTTGTATACAATATGATCTCAACTACGCAGTCATTGAAAAATGCTGAGTCCTCTTTTTAACTGAACTCAGGAACTGGGGGAAAAAAAAAAACCCTGCAAAAACCAAGGTATACACGTACACAAAAATAATTTCTGTCTGGGCAACACGAATTTTAGATAAGTTTATCTGTCTCTTTAACAGAGTTTAATTTTCTAGTAAAATGAAACCAGATTATTTTATAATCAGAACAACTGTTCTTAATATTTAGAAGAAACAAAGTCCATTGAGGAAATGCGTGTTAAAAGAATCCTGGGTCTAGTAATAAATGAAAAAGACATACACGAGGCAGCATTACTGCTGCTGACTGCAGCACTGTGCAGTGGTAAAGGCCTAAATCAATCAAAATGACCATCAACAGGGAACTGGCTACCTACACTGTACACCTCCACACAGCGAAGTACTGTGCTACCAAGCTCTTAAGGAAATGAGGACTACCTCTGCACACTCTCTGCAGTCTGCAGTGATCGCCAAGATACACGAAGAAAAGGGGGAGGGAGAAAGGCATGCATAGTATGCTACCACTTATTGAAGGAGGGTTATAAATTCATCAATGTAACTTTCATATTTTTAAAAAGGAGAGGAACAAACTATACCCTTCATGAAAACATAATGGGTTCTTCAGGGCAGGGGTGTCCAACGGAACTGTCGGCAAGAAGGGAAATGTTCTTAGAGAAGAGACTGGTGGTTGCCAAGGGGGAAAGAGATTGGAGAAGAATGGAGGGGGAGGTTGGGGTTAGCAGATGTAAGCTTTCATATATAGAATGGATACTGCACAGCACAAAGAACTACAGTCAGTATCCTATGACAAACCATAATGGAAAAGAAGGTATTTATTTAAAAACAAACAAACAAGGTATGTATATGTCTAACGGAGTCACTTTGCCGTACAGTGGTAATTAGCACAGCACTGTAAATCAACCACACTTCAATTTTAAAATACAGAAATGGTTTAAAATCAGTTTGGGATGATAGCTAGCCGCATGCAGCTACTGAACACTGAAATATGCTAAGTGTGAACAAGGAACTAATTTTTAATTATGTTGAATTTTAATTAACTGCTAAAAGCCAAATGCACTGGTGGTTAGCTGACCAGACGACACAGCTGCAGAGGAAGGGAGGAAGCCGAGCTGAGGGACAGGGATAGAAGTTAGACTTCTTTATGTTAACTTCTATAGATTCAACGCTGGAAATCATACTTTTTGGAAATAAGGTTTTTAAAAAGCATGTCCTATGAATCAAAAGAAAATCTAACTTTAGGTGGCTCAGACAGTAAAGAATCCAACTGCAATACAGGAGACCCGGGTTCAATCCCTAGGTGGGTAAGATGCCCTGGAGAAGGAAATGGCAACCCACTCCAGGATTCTTGACTAGAGAATCCCATGGACAGAGGAGCCGGGAGGGCTACAGTCCATGGGGTCTCAAAAAGTCAGACCCAACAAAGCAACTTTCAATGAGCAACTAACACTTTCACTTTCATATATACAGTTGGTGGCAAAGTCACACAGATTAACCAGTACTAATAACTTTAAAGAACACAATCCCTAGAGAGATGATCCTACTGACAAAAGAGGTCCAAAATTTTTCTAAAAACAATTTTCAATAATTGCATTGCTGGTATTATTCTACAATTTAGAAATATGGTCATACTAGAGAGCAAGAAAGGTATGAAACACTCGTGATGGAGTGTCAGAAGGGTTCAGGACAGTGTTCCAGGAAGCTCCGACCATTCAACGATGGGACAATTGCATCTTCAATGAGAACTGTATCAGCAAAGGATTAAAACACATAGAATGTGTTTAAATTCACAAGGTCATGTGTTATTTTAAAAAAACTAATGAGTTACCTCTGAAAGATACTAAGGAACCAACTCATTCATCTGAAAATTGATATATGAAGAGGAAAAAAATCCAATATGTATCCTGTCTACACCGTTACAAGATATATCTTAGAACAAAATAGTAGATAAGAGGAAGTACTTCTTTACAGAATTATTCTAGCTAATAAATTAAAAAGGGGAATATTCAAATGACAGAATTAGAACATTGTCATTTTGTAGTTACTAACGAAATAATGAAACTAGATCATGCTCACTAACGGCTGCTAACACCACAGAAAGTAATCAGACACGGTGTGCCTCCAGAGGAGACGCAACAATTCCACTGAGGTAATAGATTCCTTCTGCAAGAAAAAAAAAAAATCTGAGTTTGATCAAACTTTTAAACTGAAATGACAATTTATAGAAAATACAGGGGACAGAGGGACAAGGAAGCAATTAGCAAAATCTACTCTGTGGCCCATTCTGTAGGACCAACTGGCTTCTTTAACATAAACTGCAAGCAGAAAAAGGAGAGATGGGGAGAGCTTACTTTATATTTTAAAAGCCTCAGGAACACAAACAACTGCCATCTATGAGCCTTGTTTCAATCCTAATTCAAACAAATTATGTAAAAGAAAATTATAAAATTATAAAACTGAGAAAATTAAAACACTGACTAGATATTTAATGACATTAAGGAACTGCTATTGTTTTAGGTTAAGATCATGATATTATGGTTACTTCTTTTTAAAGAGTCCTTATATTTTGAGGTAGATGTTGAGATATTTATAGATAAGATTATATAATGTCTGGAGTTTACTTCAAAATAATCCATGGAGAAGGAGGTAAAAGTATATGTTAAATAAGACGGGCCATGAGTTAGTAAAATAATGTAAAAACTGTGGAGACCTGCAGCTTCATTACTCTAATATCACTGCTTTTGTATTTGTTTGAAATTTCCCTTAGTAAAAAAAAGATTTTTAAAAAAATCAAGCAAACTAACTTAGAACTTAGATTTTATTGCCTGGCAATCTCACTCACTGTTACAATTAGCTTTTTGGGCTGAAATCAGCAAGTAGGCAAGGACTAATATTAGAAATATATAAATCAGTCTGAAGCTTTCACTTTGCAAATCATGAAAGAAAATATTTACACACGTAAAAAATTGTCCAAGAAAAAAGGATAATAAATTAAGGCAATTAAATGGATCCATCACTTATCAGCTGTGCAAATTTCAATCTACATCTATATCTCAATTTTCTCCTCTGTAAAATGGAAATAATAATGGTATCTTCCTTAGACAATTGCTGTGACAACTAAACGGAATAATTTACTATCACACAGTAAGCACTTGGTAAATATCAATAATTATAATACAAACATACAAGATGCTCGGTAAATTCTGATTAACATTCCCTGTCAAAGACTTTCGGTTTTAATTTTAATAGCATAATTAAAAGTTGACTATATGATACAGATGAGGATTATTTCTGTTTATATGCATATAGCAGAAGTAGTTCCCTATGACCTATCCCCTCTAAGTCAGGAATCCACCTAACTTTTCTTGCAAAAGGTAAGAATCCACAAAAACATTACCTGTCATTCATCTCATATGTACCAACACTAGCTCTCTCCCTACCCACCCCCCACCCCCAATTTATGCATCTTTAAAAAAAAAAAAAAACAAGGAAATATCCATTGCCCCATTATCCAAGTCTTGTTGCCTGGGACAACTATTTTAATGGCCTATACTTTTTTGCTTATACTATTCCTTTTTATTACTAAAGTATAGTTGATTCAAAATATTGTGTTAGTTTCAGTGTGTGTATACATGCATGCTAAGTCGCTCCAGTCGTGTCCGACTCTTTGTGACCCTATGGACTGCAGCCCGCCAGGCTCCTCTGTCCATTCCCTTCTCCAGGGGATCTTCCCAACCCAGGGATTG